GGGGTTGCCAGAGTTGTTACAGTTCATCATTTGATAACTTTGTGCTTATAACAATCCATCTAATAGTTGCTGTGACATTTCACTCAAAACTACAAAAGTCAACCATATGGCTGTAGAAGAGGTCATTAAAGTCACTATTCTGTACAAAATGTTGTGTCAGTCCATCAAATAGATGTTGAGATATTTTAATTGATAGTGGCAGGGGATCCCCAAAGTTATCACAATTCATCATGTGGAGAACATAAATATTTGGGCTAAATAGTTGTTGAGCTAAATTGGTGGACTGATGAACTGAATGATAGGCCAACCAGCCCACAAACCAACATTGCCATACATAGTGCGACATTTACATGACAATTAAGACCTATACCTCATACTTTGGTATGAGGTAAAGAGTACAAAGATGCTATCGGATGATGTTCTGAGGGCTACAAAGGCTGTTGTCACATTGGTCCATATTTCTATGCTGCTTCTGTTCATCATGACACAGGAAGACAGAATTGACCCATTCTCAGGAACAAGAAAAATAAATTGCAAGCAGAGTTCAGACTATTCACCAGAGTATTTGTATTCACCACAATACAGTATATTATTATCATTCATAGACATGGTGGATCTGATTTTATGTTGACATCTCTCCTGATGCATCTGTATTATACCCACTGATTGCTATGGTATGAACTACAATATTGAGTTACACCTAGCAATTTAATAAAACATTAATAGTTTTACAGGACATGGTCATTTTTACTTACACAATAGTTGCTTATTTGCACAATGATACTCTCACATGTCTATTCTTACATGATTTGTGCTGTTTTTGTAGTGTGTTGTTACCCGCTATGTTTCTGTCATTGTACTCATTTCATTTTGTCACTGCCCACTGTTCACTGTAATGATTTTAATTGTTTAGTTAGTAGTTTTCCCATAACATCAAGGACTTTACTAGGCCATGCTTGTTAGTAAGAATTGGTTCTTTCAGTGACTGGCCTGATAGAATAAAATCATTTCCACAATTATTGCAGATGACTGGATATCCCCAAGTTACATTAGTTCTATGCAAATGGATTAAAGAACGCTTTAGCTCATTCAGTATGACAGTTATAAAGGAATGAGCTATTAAACTTTTTAATTGCCAAATATTTTTCTTTTACATTTGGAGAAATGTACTCCTGCCATCTGTCCTTTAGGAGTGGAACAGTATCATTTATGACAGCAAAGCAGTTTATATGGGCTATAGACAGGATTTAACACCGTGGATATCTGCATGAAAGCACAGACTGTTCCCCTCAGTGGGATTGCTGTCAGACGCAGTGTCTAGAGTATACTTTTTCCGACTTGATCAAATGGTGGAATAGTTATCTTGAACTTCATGCAAACTCCAAAAATCCATTCAATGCAGCAGAGTTATAATTTGATTGGGGTGATATTTGGTTGAAGTTCAAAGTGTGTATATATAAGTGTATATTATTCTGTAATAACTCTCCATTGGCTATGGGAAATTGAAGTGGATATGTTTACTGATTAAAAGAAAAACTTTTCAGGATTTTCAATTAAGACCATAAATAAAACAATGGCCTGAACTGAACTACTATAACCACTATTAAAACAACAAAAAGCCATAACCACTGACATAGATGTACTGTACACACAAACACAAGCGCACACACACTCTACGCACACGACACTACTTACATTTCCATATGCATAAACACCTCTTGACTACCTAAGCATCAAAGTCAAGCCTTCAAATCATCACAACACTGATCTGGCCTTGCCTATCCGCTGAACTTCTGGGTCTGTGTTTCATGAAATCAAATTGCATTGGGTTGGAAAGCCTGCCATTATGTTGAGATTCTTGTCATGTGCAGTGACCCTGCTGCTTAGCACCACTCGTCTGAACTCTGCGAGTCCGCCACTTTTTCATCCCCCGCAAATTTACTTTGTCTGATCATTTGTTTTCCAATTACGTCCCTGTCCCTGCTAGCAGGAAATTGTCAGCTTTGGTTATGTGAACCCGCTCTTGGGTCTGTAACCAGGGGCAATGTTTGATGTTTGGAACATTTTCATACCCATTAAAAGATGAAGGCAGGGTGAATTATTATCCCGCAGAATTGATTGGGTTTTGCAGGGTTTGGATTAGGTTGCTTCATATGATGGTATAGGCCTAGTAGAGCCCCACAAAAAGACACATTCTTATCTTTAGTTCTTGTCTTTTACCCTTAGTGAAAGACTTAAGCCTACATATGGAGTAGAGAAATGACTGGATAACTAGACCAAAGCAGAAGTTTAAGTTAAATAAGTTGTTGACTATGGATTGTTCATAATGCTGAATTTTACTTTTACACTCTTGTAATTGAATTAGTATTCCACATTCAGTTTCCTCACATCTGAATTCAGTATTTGACCAAAGTAAATAAAAGCGTCAGAGTATTTGTTCACACTAACACATTCAACGTAATTGCCAGAAACCTACCCCTTCAGCTCTGCACCACAATTTAGATCAAAGATGCTGAACTGAACCTCAAGGAGATTACGCCCCCGTAGTGGGAAAATACAACAGATGAGCATAACAATGGAAGCAAAATTGAATAGGACTTTGAGAGGCAGAGCAGAGAACAAAAAAGCAGGGTAAGAAAGCAACAGAATCAATGTTTGGCTATAAATGTCACATTAGCTGTGATAAACGAGGCCGACGACAGAAACTCTGGAAGTCGACGCAGGACATTCCAATGATCAAGCGCTGAATAATTGGACACAATGGATTCTGGGAAGGAGAGGCAATTTACTACCATGGATCCAAGAAAGAGAAGCCTCAATTCATATATTGACCTTTAAAAATGCTATTAATGGATGATATCTTCAGTTCATAGCTGGATGAGATGGTTCTCTAGTAGGCTATTGTGTACGGTGAGATTACACTGTGGTGCATTTCCTCCACTGACAGGCTTTAGTATTAATCTGGGGTTGGGTTTCACATCAGACAGTCGGAAGTTTTAAAATGGAAATGGCAGTTAAATCCAAAACAAACTGATGATTGCAGAGGTATTCATAGCTGAAGGCAAAACAAAAAGAACATACACCCCCATGTACATTCAAAAAGACTATAGGAGAGCTCACTTTTGAGCACTCCAGTATTGCACTCATGACTGTCAGGCAGCCTGTTTCTGACAGGTTAAGAGCAATTTCTATCACTGTGGCTTTGGAGAATGAGACTACAGAGACTTGGCAATGGCATTTTGATGGATAATGAACTCCCTTTTATTTTAGCCTTGATGCACAGCTCAGTGTTTTTATTGCTCTTATTCTTTCACCGTACCAAGAGTTTACAAGCAATTCAGGAACATTTCAGAGGTTTAAAGGAGTTAAAGGGCCAAGTATTTTGACAGTTCAAACAGTCAAAAAGCCTGCAGCTGTTGTAACATGAAGAAGTGAGAAGATCAGAATATGGGTTTTAATTAGGTTGCCATTTTTCTTTAATAGGCAGTGTACAGTTAATAGGCAGGAAATAGTAAGGACAGCAAAATAAGATGAGACAGGTTAAATGAAGATTCTGAGCCAGGAAGTTACCATAATGTATGTTATACACATATAAGCTACAGTCTTTATTCTACATGGAGCTGGAGCCAAAAGCCAGTTAGCTTAGTTTAGCTTAGCATAAATACAGGAGGACTACCGCCTACCAGCACGTCTAAAGCCCGTTAACCAACATGTTTTATTTTGTTTGTTTCATTTCTACAAAAACCTAGTGTAAACATGTCAAGTTGTGGTTGTGCTAAGCTAAGTTAAGCTAACGAGCCGCTGGCTCTAGATAAATTTTTACCTTACAGACATGAAAATAATATCTATCTTGGTATCAAGCAGTAGAACACAGAAATTGATTAAGCCTTGATATAGAAGATCTGAGAGTCGGACCGATGTTCATTTTCTTGGTCTTTAATTCTTGCGATATATAGGCGATAGCAGGCTGATTTTCTAAATGTCTAATGTGGATGTAATATTTAAATCTATGTCCATAACAAAAACAAGATTTAGAATTATGGATTCAAGCAAGGCACTGAGTAAAATTCTTCTTTGGCACCAAAAACAACTATTTTGTTTTATCTTGAATTATCTGTTCAGTTCTGTGTGTGCAACATGAAGGGACTACAAACTTTCTTTTCGTTATACAACCTTGTGTTGTATAATAGTAAATAAACTACCTTGATACCTTGAAATTAGTTGTCTGAGGTGACAGCAGATTTCACTTCATAGGGAACAGCACGCAGAATTGAGAAAAGAAAAAAAAACTGGAAACAAAACATAACCGCGCATCTTTGCATACACCTTTTTGTCAGTCCTCTCTGGTACAGCAATTTGATGATGATATAATATTGATTTCTCTGTCATCTCAGGAGTTACAATCTTAAAACCCAAAAAATAACTTTTGGATGACATTTTGTTTAAAAAAACAACAAAAAACAAACTAAAAAAAACAAAAAGCATAAACAAAATGTATACCCCCCAGGCCTTGGATCAAATCCTGCAGCACCTTCTCACTCTCGCTCTTAACTTTCCTGCTGTCTCTGTTCAGGAGAAATAACTTCCTATCCTTTGAAATGGAAAACTACTGCTGAAGGCTTTTCAAATGCACTTAAGATTCATTTGAACTGGAACAGGAAATTCTGTTGCTGTAGGCGGGCATTCGTGACATATAGCTTTTTCTCCTGACAATACATATTCATATATTTTTCTTGCAAACACCTTAGAGGGACACATTTCAACATTTAATAATGCAGTAGGGGTGACACTGCTGTCTGCTGCTTGTGTGCTGTTGGACAGTGGTGTTGAATTTAAAATGTGTAAACATATAATAAAGGATATTTGGTGTTGATGAGTTATTCTCAGAGTATAATGTGCTTTATTGACTCAATTTCCAAGTTTATATCATTCTAGCTGGCATGGATGGGTGGCGTGTTAGGTTTACCTTTGCTGCAGGTGTTTATGTAGTTGCATCTTACCTTGTACAATGAGGTAGACCTGTGAGGTCTTGGGCTGCTGCTTAGTCTGAATGGAACAGGTGTACGACCCCTCGTCATACACGTCGACCTACACACAATAAAATACAGTACTGTTATTTCATTAGTTTAGTTAGAGAAATTCCTTCATGTTACTGTTACCTTTTCCAATAGTGTTTTATCATGTAATTTTAACTGGTATATCTGTAAATCTGTAGAACATCATACGGGACTTTAGGAGAATCTACCATCCATCCATCCATCGTCAAACGCTTATTCTGTGTACAGGGTCGTGGGGGGGCTGGAGCCTATACCAGCTGACATTGGGCGAAACGCGGGGTACACCCTGGACAGGTCGCCAATCCATCGCAGGGCAGGAGAATCTACAAATATTTCTAATTAACTTGGACACTATTTTGCCATTTCTTTTTTGCCTGTCTATGTGACTTAGTGGGACAACATTTTTTTCAAATTGCTGTTTCTGGTTAAATAAAATGATCTTACGCTTTGAAACGCTTTATCTGTTTAAGGACCCTTTCCAAAATGTATCATACACTTGTAGTAACAATCTGAGCCTGTCAGTGGCAAAAACTAGCACTTTAGCATACTTTGGCGTACTTTGGCAATTGCCTGTAAGGATTATGTTGCGCTTCTGTCTCGCAGCTGCCGACTGCAGCGCGCTCTCTCAATACTAGACCACCCAAACACAGGAATTTAATTTCCAGGTTGAAAACTACCGAAGATGAGTTTGAGTTTTTATTTTCAGACCACACACATGAGTTCTTCTGACATGAAGTCTTTTGAATTGAAATGATGAGTTGAATGAATGTACTGCTGAGAGTTCACTCACCTCAGTAAATTAAGTCTCTAAAGAAACATAATCAGCATATTAGCAGACTTCACTTCATGCGTTATTTGTGAGTTAAAACTTCCTGAAGACCCTATTTTTTTGGTATTTTAAAAAAGCCTATATGACGGAAACTTGCTGTTTGTCTTTAATACGTGTTAAATTAAAGTATGGCTCATGATGAATTACATATTTAAGGATTGTAGTACAGTGCAGTCCAGCTTAGATCAGTATTACCTTTTGTATGCGCAGGCTGTACTCCAGCTGTCCTTTAGTGACCAGATCTACTCTGGGGTCCAAGGACCACTTGTCCTGGCCAGCAAAGATGATGTTGGATCGATTGAGCCAGGCCACCTTAGACACTTTGTCATCAACATAACACCTGTGGGCACAACAAAAGTGAGTGAGGTGAGGGGAAGGAAATAGAAATGGAAGGCTTGGATTCTCATTAGGGGATGCAGTGCAAGAAGGTGTGAAAAGAAAGTGCATGTAACGTGTTTCATTTCATGGTATGTAAGCTTAGTAGGCAAAAGAAAATGTGGAGTTTTGTAGATAGGAAACAAACAAATAACAGCAATTATGCAATCCCACATAGTAGGTCAGCTGTACAGAACTCAGAGGAATTTTATGTCAGGGTTGAAAAGCACAATCTTTTCTTAAAATGGCCCAAGCTGGGTATACTGAAACACAGTGTTGTATTTGGTACTGCTGACCAGCACGGCTATTCCAGAGTTAGTTAACGCAATCAGATAACTCAGCACTCCACTTATCCTGAGCATCTCTTTCTCTTTCCCGTCTTTAGTCCATCCCTCCGACTCATTCTCTCTCATGTCTCCCTTTACCTCCTTCTCGGTCTCCTTCTTTAAATCTGCCCTCACTCCCTCTCACTGATAAATACATCTCCTTTAACCGTGAGCCCATTGCTGTAGATGAGAAAGGACACCGGTATCCTCTTGTTTACTTCTTGTTGCACGCTATCAGAGCATTACGCCAAGAAAGCTCGAGCTAAGACATCTCAAACGGGAAGGATGGGAGCCGAGCGCCTACCTAATGAATAAATGTAAATGTGAGAAGACGTCGGAATCAATGAGAATGGATATCAGCTGTAATGCAAGCCGACAGCGGATGCGCCTCACATGCAAATTCCGGCGACTCCCGGAGCCTTGGCTGTGCGCACTGCTTTGGAGTGTGTTGTGCTACAAGAGAGTAGATTAGCAAGGCAGTGGAGTGAGGCTGTCTTTGGCAGGTGACCCCGGGTGATGCACAAAAGTGGTGGTGCAGTCACCCCGGCCTGTTACCCAGTGGGAGCTGGATGTCAGGTTTGTTGAGGGCTTGTACTCGCAGCTTGAATCCTTGTTGATGTTCCTTCCCTGTGTGGAACGCAGATAGCTCACCGTGTTTATTGACTTGCTTTGACATGTACCTTCTACTTTCCTCACTCTGAAGTGAACACGTTTATCCCAATTTGTATCAAATATCTTCAGGGCTCTAATTAGTACACTCTATAGTCAAAAGCATCCTAAACTAATCCAGACACAGAGGTACATGAACAACTTTCCCCCACAACCACAAGAAGCATTCAGATCCATACAATATACATCATTTTATGACACATATTTAGAATGAGATTGAAGCTTTAACCTGTGCAAATTATCCATGAATGATGCATTCAAGCAATTACATGTTCAAACCCTCAGAATTTTACATTATATTCTCAGTGAAGACCTCTGTGCTTTCAAAGAGGAATAAAGCTATTTAGAATTCAATGGAAACACGTAGAAATGTGCACAAAACATAAAATATTTCACTGAACAGAATTATGATAAACTGTACTGTAGCTCCAGTGTAGCATCAAGCAGATGCAGAACATACCACATTTAGTGCAGTCTGTGAAATTGCTGTCACGTGGGAGAAAAAGAGGTCTACAGTACATCAGCTACTGAGATACGATGTGTTGTTATTTGTTCAGCACCTGTTATCATGCAGTTCTATAAAATCTAGTAAATAAAGATTCTTCATGATTATAAATGTATGATAGGTTTGTTTGTAAACTAGATTTTTAAAAAGAAGGTTGCTTTCTGTGTGTGTAAAGCTCTGACTTAATCTAATGGTCGTTCAACAACTGATAATGCTCTGTACTGTAATAGTGAAAGAGACACATGGTGACAAGTTAAATAGCATTAAAGTGTTTGCAGTGAAGCAATAAACTGCCCTGGCTGTCTGAATGGTGGCATGTTGTTTGTTTTCACTGAGCTCGCTTCCTCTCCACCCTTATTCCCAGTCATCTCCTGCTGTGAGGTAAACTGGAAGAGGTGAAAAAATGAAAAAAAGGAAAGTGAAAGACGTGAACAGAATGGTGACTGGCTTGGCTCTCAAAAACTCAGATTACATGGAATCATGATGTTGTAAGCACTATATAAGACAACTGTGTACTGTACAGACATTACATATAGTTTAGGATTAAACTACAGACTTGCAACAAAAAATGTTTGTCAAACAATACATCAATGAAATGTAAGAACTTGCATGCAGCCTATAATCTACAGATCTTTCATAATTAGCATGTGGTTTTCTTGTAGAAAATAACTCTAGTGACCCTTTCTGTTACTGATCTCAAAGACACATTCCTCAGTTAATAATTGCTGATGACAAAGAGGGATCTTTCTAGACCAAGTATTTTTATTGATGTAGAAGACTGCAAAAACTGCTTCTTGGACTATCCTCTATTAGGAAATAAAAAAAACTTCCTAGTCAAACATACAACAATCTGTGTGCTGAAAATGTCACCACACATCCACTGACACTTTTATTACTATTTACAGAGTGAACAGAGACTATTGTCCAACAAACGACGGATGTGGCAAGCTGCTGATTTCTGTTATGTCGAGGGCAAGCACAGAGTTTAGGTTTTCTTTCAGAGTGCTGAAGCAGCCTGACAGATGCTTTGTGATCGCTAGAAACACAGTTCAGAGACTGCAGAGATGTTAATCAGCCAATTGTAAACAGATATTATTCATGCACTTAAGATGTAAATGTTAAAGGCTTTAAACTCCTCAAGTGGATTTGAGATTAGATGAAACTTGAGTGGAAAGTGAATAATTGAAAGGAGCCATCGTGATAGAATTCAGCAGAGAAAAATTTTAAATTAACCTCTCTGCTACCTCTACAGCAATAAAGTTGAAATAAACAGCTGTGAAACTTATAGATGAAACAGACGAAAATTACATTTTGTGTAAGCTTGTTAACATTTGCTACAGCTGTACAGCAGAGGCTGATCATTGCCATTAGTTTTGCAGGTATTTGGTCATAAGTATTGAACACAATAAAAGTTAGATTGGAAATGAATGAACGACCAAAGTTGTAAAAAAAAATTATTCTGTTGTTGAGACATTTCACTCAAAACCACAAATATCAACCTCAGCGTGGAAGAGGAAACACAAGAGGATCACTAAAGTCATAACGCTTCATCCTCTGGGCAGCATGAAGGTCAGTTGCCCAAATTTGCACCAATTTATCTAGCTGATGCAGAGATATTTTGACTGGACATGCACCTGCAGGTGGTGCTAGATGATGTCAGGGGACCATCATACTATGGGGACCATAATATCACAGTGCACTGAGATTTATCCAACGAAGGTTAAAAAATCAAGGGCAACTGGACTTGGTTGGCCCTTGATTTTTTAACCTGCGTTGGATAACTATGACCTGGATGACTGAGATTCTTCATAGACATACTGATATTTATCACAAGCTGTAAAGCCCTCACTCATCATTGTACAATCTACTCCAGAGTTGGTTGGCCATCCCTGATTTCTCGGAGACTCAAACACTGGTACTTGTTCATTTATAAAGCCATTCTGGGTAAACTACCATCTTATACTGTATTGCCACGCTACCTGAGCAGAAATCTGATTGTAGCTATCGTTTGAGATCACAAGATCTGTTCTTGTTGTCAGTTCCAGGTGTATGGAAGGAACTGGGGAAATAATGTTTTTAATGTGCTCTGCTCCCCTCACTTAGAACGCCCTTCAATAAGACTTGGAACTAAGAGAACTGGTCTCTAGTATGTCTAACTTTCAAGCAATTATAAGTATGATGATGAATAGTGCGGCTGGTTGATATTGCAGCGTATATTTGATGCGTATATGTATATCTTATATGTTTCTTGTCGTATTGTTCTATAACCTTTTTATGCTGCTGTCTTGGCCAGGTCACCCTTGTAAAAGAGATCACTGATCTCAATGGGTCTTACCTGGTTAAAGATGTGTTAAATAAAAAAATTAAATAAGTGTCTAAACCAAATTTCATGGCATTCCATGCAATAGTTAAGACATTTTAGACTGGACCAACTAAACATCCAAAAGTCACTGATATCCACAAAGCAATGCTGTTCCAAATGTGTCCAAAACTATAAAATAGGCATTGACGACATGATGCCCATCACTACAGTAGTTAAATATTTCCGTTGTTGTTGTTGTTTTATGAAATGGGATCTGATTTGAACTCCCCGGCTATGGTAAAATAAAACTACATTTTGAAAGGGCAATCCTCCTTTACCCTAGGTACTTTGAACGTGATTTCGAAATAGCTTACTATCATTTCCAGCAACATCAGTTTCCAGGTCATGAGGGAAGGAGGAAATAGTAAAAAAAAAAACATTCATAGTATAGCATGATGCACCCAATTATACCCTCTGTGTAATTGCGGCAAGCTGTTTTAATTGTGTATGGCACTCATACTGTGAGTGTGGCTCCTCAAAGCATCATGTGAGCTCTTGGATAAATACAGGTGTATGTGACTATTAATCATTCAAATGTTCCTAATTGTATTACCTGCTTTCAGTTAGCGGTCACCATATGCTACTCCATATGGGTCAAAAAAACAGATAAAATGGATAAATGGCGGTGTACATGCCACCGCACTCAGACTTTAATCAGAGCAATATTTCTCTCCTCTCCACATCCTCATCTTTCCCTGCCTTATCTCTTTCCCTCTCATCACCACACCTCCACTTCTCCTCCTCTCGCTATCCTCATTTTCTCGCCCCATCTGCCTCTCATTCTGGCCATCCTTTCTCCTCTCGGAAAGTTCCTTCTCCTCTCTCATCTCTCCATCAACACTCTGGAGCAGGAGTGGACTGTATGAAATAGAAATCAAAGGAACTAGTCATTGATCTATGCTACAGACTGAGTTTCTCTGGTACCTCTTCCCCTCTGCGTTGTCTGTCTTCCCTTGAACTGCTCAAGCCTCCAGAGTGTCCCGACAACCCTTGGTGCAGAGTGTAGAGCATGCTCAGTAGTGGCTATTTTCTGTTCTCACTAATGAGCGACTGCCTGGGAAACAGAGAACTTCCTATCACTTGTCAGTGCAGTTGTCTGCATG